GATTATATAGAATAGTCCCTTTAGAATAAAGATAATTTTTAAAATCAGAGAATTAAAATATTTTTTTATTAAACATTCTATATTACAACCTCACATTTTTAAGAAGAAACAAAAAGAAAAGCAAATTATCATAGTATTATTGTTTAAGAATAGGACCGCAAGCTACCCGTATTTTTGTTGCTGTTTCTGCACAGTGAGCTGCCAACGAATTAAATTTTCATTTTTTATTACAAAGAAGAAAAATTTTCACCAGGATTTCGTGTTTACTACTATCAATTTTAATCTTTAAAGTACATTCTTTTTTAAATATTGAAGAAAATGCTATAAAAAAAAATTCAAAAAACAGAATCCTTTTCTATATAATTTTTGTTACTATTATTTTATTGTGATGAATCCTTTTTTGGGCGACATTTTGTGTGGTAGGTTGATAATAACAATGAGAGATGGCAATGAAATTGTTTTTTTTTTTTTTTTTTTGATTGTTCTAAATTTAATGTAATAGCAATAGAAAGAAATTACAAGTTGAATAAATGTAGGGAACCTTTTTTTTTTCCTTTAGATTTTTATTCTATTCAAGATAAGATAAGATAAAAATGATGAGAAAAATTGTTTTTCTTCTTCTTTTCATTTTCTTTGTTTTGTCTCAGTGTGGATTATTGTTTCCTTTTTGTATTGAAAAATCTTTTTTATTTGTTTGTAAATTGACTTTTTTTTTGTTTTATTTTATCACTTTCGTTTCGTTTTTTTTTTAAGGATATTTATGTAGAAAATATTTTTATATAAATATCACACCAAGTTCTTCATGAATATTAGAAAAGAAAAATGTGCCTTTTTATCTGATGTCTGGTTATATAAAATGGATTATAAATTTCTTTTTTTTTTTGTGGGAGAGGCTAAAGAACTTTTTAAAGGATAAAATATACGAGTAAACAAGTAAAGTAGAAAAAAAAAAACAAATAGTCCAAAGAATTAACTGTGAAATTATTAATTGAAAAATTTTTTGGGGAAAAATATAAAGTTTTCTATTATATAAAGTAAAATTTTTATTAAATGTTTTTTGGAGATTTAAAATAAAGGTGCTAAGGGTTAGGAACCTATATTTTTGAAAGTAATTAAATTACAAAAGTTATAATAGAAGAAGGTAGGGAAGGTAAGGCACCAATGTAAAAATATTAATATAATATCAATAAATTTAAAGAAAAAGTTGTTTTACGAATACCTTTTGCACTTTCAGGATATTAATTTCCAACTTTTAATTACAATTTATTGTGTTGCAAGCACGGGTTGGTGAAATATGGGTTGAATTCAGACAAATCTAGTTAAATATTTTTTACAATCTTCTTTTTGTACACATTTAAATTCTCTATGATTTTAGGATCAATCTTTAAATATATACATTCCTAATCCTAAATTTTCTTTTTATATTTTCTATATAATTCTTCAAGAATCTTTGAAATTCTTTTAACTTAATTCAATAAATTCTTGAGTTCCAATACTGTAATACTTGAGTTCTAGAAAGCATAAAATTATTAATAACTAAATTATGCAAAATTCAAGAATAAATTCAAGAGAACATTAATATATTACCTTCACTTTTAGTTGCTATGAATTTCCTAACAGCATTAGCAATATTCTCTTTTTGCAACAACTTGAATATACAAAAGAATATTATTCATATTTACTAATTTTAATTTATTATAAAAATCAAAGACTAAACTGCTTTTAAGGAGTAACCATAAATTTCATTTGATTCAAAGATTGATAATTTATTGAACTTGTCAATAAATCTTAATGATATCAAATATTTCGTTCAAGTACCAAAACATATAAGAGCTTTAAATTATCTATAATGTACCAAGTCTATATTACACTTCATAATACTATCACCAATAAAATTTTCTTTTAATAATAATTCATTATGCTCTTCTATATAAAGAAAGATCCTTTTTTCAAAGTGATTATGAGCATGTACACCATAACATAGCTACATTATACCAACATGCTTATATATTGCTTGACAATTTATTGAATAATTCTCAATTACACTCTCGCAAAGAATCCTCAATTTCTTTTTAATACTATTTTATATTTTATGATGCCAACAAGCGAAAATTTATTCAAAAATCATTCATTCAATAAATATGCCTATATATTTATTTTGTCTACTTAAAGATATATGAGAAAATATTCAAGCAAAAGAGATTGATGAACTTTTCATTAAATGTGATGAGATATGTGTAAGTATGTATAATCTAGATCAGATAAAGAAAAAGATGAACATTAAGATGAATTCAACTACATTAAAATAGGGAGTAGAAAAAAAATATATTCATAATAATATATAAATATATTGGATCCCCTTAAAAATCACTTTTAAAAAATTATAATTGGAAGGATAAATGGTCTATATAGAATTATAATAAACTACGATTTATCCTAGAAAATTTAAATTGTGGAAAAAGGCAGAGTATTGGAGGACATAATGGGTTTTGGGATCTGTGTGTTGATTTCTTTTTGTGTTCATTATCATACGTATATTTTAGTATCCTTGATCTAATATCATACACAATATTATATAAAAATTTATATTGAAGGTATATAACTTTGTCGCAAAATATTATGTTTATCTCATTAATCATCATAATGTTGGGAGTAAAAAACTAACCAAACTATTGTATGTAATTTCTCTGCATATTCTCAAAAACAAAAAAAAAGATAAATTTGATGTCAAATTTATTTCAAATTCTATGAATTAGCTTAGCAGGAGTTCGTAATTTTTGTTTTCATTTTTAGAAATCATTACATTAATCATTTACTATGCATTCTCATAGGGGTGAATTTATTAAATTAATAAAAGAATCTAAGGTAAAACAACACTTATGCTCATAATGTATAAACCATTTTAATTTTTTCGGAATAGAAAATGGTTGGGTTTTACCTGTTATAAATAGTAACTCTAATTAATTTTTTGAGGGAGACTATAAATGTAAATCTGCAATAATATGTTAGATAATATATAGAGAACATTACTGTAAATGTATAATATAGAAAAAAGAATATATAAGAGAAATAGAAAAAAGGAAATATTTTAAAGTAAAACAAGTCTGCTTTTGTGAAAAAATTGTTTATTGACACTAAAGGTTAATTGAGTAGTATGAGAAACTATAAAAATATTTCCCAAATTTAATAAAAACCAGATGTTTGTGTACAGATAAAATTTACGGTACTAATGATTAATATAAGGTGCAAGATTTTGCCTATTTTCATTTGATATTACTTGAGAATTCTAATTTTAGAATACCTTACAGGAAAAATATAATTTTTGGTGGAAACTTAAAGAATTTACGACTTAAATTTATAAACATTATAAATTGCAAGAATCATCAAGAAATTACACAAATTAACGATTATATAAAATTATAATAAATTAAATTTTTAATATCGCTTATTTAAAACTATCGCATTTTTTTTAATAATCTTTAAAATGTGTTACAGCTTATATGCATTTTCGAATAAAAAGGACAATTTAAATAATTAAAAACATTATAATTACTCTTTAGAAATCAATAATCGACACTGTAACAGGACAAAAAAAGAAATTCTTTACCGATTATAAAAACTTTTTACAAACTTTTTCTATTTAACAAATTCACAACTTTATAATTGAGTTAATAAATTTCTGTTAAAAAACAAAATAGTAAAGCAAACAAAAAATATCATCAATAACTTTTCTCAATAGTTTTGTAATTTACACTTAACAAGTTTTACTTATTATTTATATTAGATTTGTTGAGATTTTTCAAGTTCAATAATTATTACAATATCAAAGTAAGGAAAACTATAAGGACAAAAGTTAATTGCAATTTTATAAATTTTATTTTAAAAATTCTATAGTGAAAAATATGATTTCGACTTGAAAAGTTATCCAGCAAAAGGAATTTCAAAGCAAAACTTTTTAATAAAATCCTTAAAAATCCTTCAAATCCTTCAAAGTATAAAGATTTTTTCTTTCTCTTTAAATATGCATTGTTTAATAATTTATAATAGTGTAACAGTTAAGGATATAAAAAAAAAATATAATAAATATTCTTAAAAAGGTGAAATAAAAATTTCACTTGAAAACTTTACAAAAATAACTTTTCTTTTTATTTGTTTTGGCCTCTTTGAATATTTTATATGTACATGCTACTTGAATCTATTATAATTGAATATATATTTTTAGGGGCTTGAATTCTCAAGAGAGAATTGAATAACAAGTGATATTATTTTATGAGAAGTTTTCTTTCCACACTGTTTTTTTCTATGTTTTTTTTTCCTTAAGAAAAATTCAATTCAAATGTATAGTAAAAAATTAATAATATTTGAGATGAAGAATGTAGAATAGTTTTATATTATAGAAATCGATTTATAATTGACAGCTTCTGAAAACATTATTAAAGAATTCATGTTAGACAACTAGACACGACTAGTGTGTACCTTTTTTTTTGTTTTCATTCTTGCAAAATTCTTATGAATTATTAGAATGGACAAAGATGCTAAGAAATGAATGAACGAGAAAAAGAAAACCTAGGAAATTATAATTTTGCCCTTATCAATGTCATCGATGATATTTCTCTAGAGGAAAACTCTAAAGTGAAAAATATGTTAAGGAAAAAGAAGTGATTAGAAGTGTAAAGTGTTTTAAAAAGGAAAAATTTTCAAGTTTCTGTTCCATATCCCAGGGTTTCCTATTAAAATTAACTTCATAAAATCGATAGTTAATAAAAATGTCATCGACAATATATGATGGAAAGTTTTTCTCTTCTTTTTTTTGTTTTTTCCTCTAATATCTAAAGGATATTTACTTTAATGTTAGGTTTTTGATTTTACAAATCTTATTAAACGTATGTACGTGAGTTGGTTCATAAATTTTTAAGAGAATTGAATATCGAACAATTAAAATAGAACTGAATGATAATTTTTCTTGCGGAAAATTTACGAAATTTAATATGTTTTCATACCTGTAATTTACAATGGCTTATATCCTTGGATTGAACATTTTATACAAAATGAAATCTTGTTTTACTTCCATTATATCTTTCTGTTTTTTTCAGCTATGTAATTAATCTGTTTCTTCGCACTTCATTTTACATCTATTTCGTTCCAAACTATTTTGATTTTGATCTTCAGTTTGACCTATAGCTGTAGTTCGTACAATTTTTTGTTTGTTATTGGTTTCTTTATGTAAAATCATTATTTTCTCTTGTACGCCAAGTTGAATACAAATAAAGTTGAAATATCATTACTTCGGTTTTAATGCATATTGTATTGGGATTCTGAATATTTGGAATACATAATTGTATTTAATTGTATCTATATTGAGGAGTATGGTCATTCAATCTTCTTTTTCTTTTCAATATTATTAAAATATTAAAAACTAATAAACTTTTTCACCATCTAATGTAAATAATGCTCATGATTTCTTAAAATAATTTCCTCCACCTCCATCATTGACTTCTGTATAGTCTACTCTCACAGATATTTAGACATTCTACAATAAAAAAAAAAAAATATTAAAAAATAAGTAAGTTAGGACTAAAAGTTAATGTTTCCATAAGTAAGGAAAAAAAAAATCCCATCCTTATTTCCTCATATTTTTTTAGTTTTTGGTTTTTTTGAATACCACAACATAAGTTGATAAAATTGATTTGAAATTACGGTATCAAATTTTGGGGCCAAAAGAATATTGTTTTATTTTTTCTGTCTCAAATATCATTCGAAAATTCTCCGTAGTCAGACATTAAAATTCTTTATTTTAGGTTCTGCTATACATCCTGAAATTAAAAAAAAATATATATGTATATCAAAACAAAAAAAAAAAAGGAAGAGAAAATTTGTTTTCTTCTGTGATGACAGATCACCTCACCTGGTATAAAGTTAAAAAGAATAAACGTCACAAATTTAGGTAACCAAGAAAAGATTTATGTTCATAAATTACAGGTGATTTAAAAATTCCTTTTTTTTTTGAATTGTTGGTTTTAAATTTTTTTTTTCTTTTTATATGTCTCTGTAGGCCTTTCTGAAAAAAAGAAAAAAAAAGTATGATTTTTAGTATGAAATATCCTTTTTAAAGTTAAAACATTGAATGTAAGGATAATAAAGAAGGTTAACTTTCTCCAGCCAGAAAAATAATTTAAGAGTGTTTTGTGACTTTTTATGATTTTCATGAACATTTTTGGGCTATAAATTGTTTGTTTTTTCATTATAGGAATGTGGGCAAGAACTGGAAATATTAATATGTAGGATACTTTATTCTTTCTTCATTTTTCCAAGGATTTAAATTAAAACTTTGTCCTTCAATATGAAAAAAAAAAGCAGAGGGAATTTTTTAATGAAATTTTTATTGATTTTGATGTTTTTTTTTTTTGTTTTTAATACGAAGGTGAGTGACATTTTTTGGATTTGATTTATGACTTAAATTAAGTTTTTAAACTCTCAATATAAGTTTAAAAGTGCAATTTATACACATATTGAATAAAATTTATACATGTGCATCGGTATTGTTTGTTTTATCCGTAAAAAATTTGAAAAGTTTAATTTTTTGAATGTGGACGAATATAAGATTTATTTGAGTTTAGAAACTTTGGTAAGGACTAATGATTTTTGGTTTTAGACAAATTTAATTGGTTGTCTCTCTTTCGCATTTAAAGTAGGAACTGGTATTTGTTAAAACAGTAAAGAGCGAATAGTAGTAATTTACAAGTGCATCAGTACTAGAGTTGATTGCGTTATAGTATTAACATAATTTGTAATTTAATTTAGATTTTAATGGTTTAAGTAAATTAAACAAAATTTATGAAATATAATCAGATTTTTTCATTTTCTTAGTAAAATGATGAATTTTTCTAACCATTAATACTAATCTAGGTTAATTAGTCCGGAATAATTTGCTTACTTATGAAATCCAAATTAGAATTTTTAGGTTCTAAATAACTTTACTAAAATTCTATTTCATTTAATATTTAAGAGGTTCTCTGAAACTATTGAGACCCTTAATTTTTCTACATAAAAACTTTCAATATTTTAGATTTCATACTCTTTTGAGTTGCCAGACAAAAATGCCATTCAAATTCAAGTGTAGAAAAAGATGAAAATAGTCCTTTTTATAAACTTTCAGTAAAAATATAAGTTGGTTGAAATTACCATATTTAAAGTGAATGCACTAAAAAATATTCTTTAACTATGCAACAACTTAAATTTTGAATTGGAAATTAGTAATACAAATTCAAATTTAAAAAAAAATTGCACAAAAATCTTTTAATCCAATTTCCTTTTTTTATCTAAAATATGCAACAAATTTTTTACTAGTTTAAAAAGTTACATTACAATAATACCTTTAAGGAATAAGCTAACCAACATAATTGTAGCATATTTGCACTCTAATAACTCTTGACACATATGACAATTTTTTTTAATGTTTTTGAATCCGTTTTTCCCATTTTTTTTATAAGGTAAAAATAAACTATAGATTTTTGTTACCTTATAGGTATAAAACCTCGACACTCTTCAACATCAAAGTTTAACTAGAAAAAAAAAATGGTAAAAAACAAAACGAAGAAAAGCTTAAAGTGTAAATTTATTCAAGAGAAACCAGAAAAAACTGAAAGAGAAAAAATTGAAGTGGACTTCAAAAAATGAAAAAAAAAGTGCAGCATATAAACTGACACCTGTTGAAATTTTTTTAAATTCCTATAGATAAAAATTTTATTATAAGGATAAAATATAATTTTATTACAATTTTTCGTTTATTTTTTTTTCAGAGTCAGAATAAATTTGGTAAGGTATGAGAATCGTTTTAAAATGTCATATTATTTTCGATACTTGTGTATATGCGAATCCTATAGAAAGTGCTTTATATGAAAAAGTTAAGAATGTCCTTAAACAATAAATTTAAATATTAGATATATATATATGAGGGTACGAATGCTTATAATTCTAAAAAAATAAAATGTAGTGTCAGCTAATGAGTCGAAGTCATAAAATTTGTGTAGTAATTTTAAAATATTTAAAAAGGAAAATTTGTTGAAAGGTAAGAGAATTGCTAAGAGAAGGCTTCTAATCCGAAGTTTACTTTAAAATGCTTCCTCTAGATTTTAAAATAATCAATTTCAATATAATAATTTTAAAATTTGAACCATTTAGTAGTATGAACCACCATTGAACTAGTTTGAACGAATAGCGTTGTAAGCATGTAAAATAGCAAGGTTGTTTTCTGAATTTTGATTCCTAAAATAAATAAATATATTCTAATTACTAATTTACATGAAAGAAAATACACATTTAATGAATTAGCATTTGCAAAAAAAAAGAAGCCCAAATACCTTATGGTAGAAAATGTTCTGTTCTCCTTTAGATTTGGCCAATGTTCTCACATAAACAACAGGTTTGCATTTGTTTAATTTCAATACTATTCGGCCCACTCCACTGATTATTCTTAGCAAGCCTTTTTTAACAAAGTGTATCCAAATGTGAGTTATGTGTGCTGACTGATTCTTTGTAAATGACATCCTGAAATAATTAATGATAATTATAGTTTTGGTATAAATAAATGAATAGAAATTTTATATTGATGCTATTAAAATTACATTTACGATATTCAAAACTGTTTCTCAAAATTTTCATTTATTTTTTATTCCCTCAAAAAAATTCTTATTTTAGCTTTAAGGTTGACGTTCACAATTTTTTTTCGCAAATATATTCATTGAAAAAAATTTTATTACCTATCATAATTTATTTAAGAATCCTTTTTTTTGCTGTTTTTCCATTTTGTAAATTGAGAATGAAATGACTTTGATGGTATGGTGTAGCCATTGGGGTTTTAATTTAAATTTTTAAACAATTTCAAAGATGATTTTTTTTTTAACCAAACAAAACCAAACCAAAATCAAATCTCAGAAATGAAACAAATTTATCATTCCAATTCACTTATTTTAGTCCTTTTATTTGATATCTGATCAGATACGGTTTAATTGTGTTGTGGTTGCCAACAACACAAAGTAATTATCAAAAAAAAAAAACGAATCACTAAAAAAAACAGATGAGAAAAATAATAAAAATTAAAATCAGTAAAAGTAAAGAAAAAATCAGGCGAAGAGCAGCGAAACATGAATAACATGAAAAACAGAAACGGAAATGTGGTTTCCTTGTTCTCTTTAGGGCTAATATAAAACCAGAAGTTTGAGACAAATTTTTCCATTTCATGTTTAATTAGATAGGCTCTTTTACATATGAATATTCACACATTATATACAGTAAAGAGTCCAGTATAAAAAGGATATGACAAAATGATATCATTGTCCTATTATATGTTTTTTCTCTTACCAAGAGAATTAAAATTCTATATATAATACTTTGTTTGTTTTTCTTCTTAAATTTTTATATTTTCGACATTATCTTGCTCTGTCAAAGATGAAAGGATATTTTTTTATATCATTTAACAGTATTTACAAACAGAAGAGAAATGACACAAAATCGAAATTGATCCAAAAGAGATGGAGGAATTGATAATATTAATAGAAATAATTTTATGTTCCTTTAATTACTACAAAACTAATGGCACAAAAACAAATGTATGTCTATTGGAAGTCATGTATATACGTACATATGTATGTGCTTTGAAATTAGTTAGAAATAAAATATAAAAAAAAATTTTAAAAATTCTTTCTTAATAAAAGTTAGGAAAAAGTAAAGAAACTTAGAAGAAATGACAAATCAGTGCCAATTTTTGAAATACAAATTTTTAATTTTTTCATTGCATTGCATAAATAATAAAGCAATCATGACACTAAAATAATTTCTAGATGTTGGACCTTATTAACCGATTTGAGAGAAGAGTTTTTGTTTTTCTACTTTTTAATTTTAATTTTTTTTCTAATCGTAGAATCTTAATCCTTTGATATTTGCCAAGTCTCTACAGAGGTTATTGACAAATTGCAAAATTCATTTACAAATTGGAAAATCGTTTTGTAAAATAAGAAGGAAGACAATAAATCCTTAAATTCGACAACATTATAAGATGATAATATATGCTATTATGTATAGTACCATTTACATACAATCATATATAAAGTTTAGTTTAATTTTGTTCGAAAACTAATGAAATTTATATTTCATAGCATTTGAGTGATTTTAAGCTAAAATGAAGCAGAAAATTTTCTATATATGTATATGCATTTCCACTTTATTGAAAATATTCTAAAAAAATAATACTTAATATTGCAAAAAAGCATTATTTTTTTAATTAATATTTAAATTAAACTCAAAAATTATATTAAATTGAATTAAATTGAATTGTCGCTTATAACTTCTATAGATGTATTGCGTGTATGCCGAAATTTAAGTATGGTAAAAGAATAATGCTATCACAATTTGTAGTTTCTTCTTAAATAAAAATTCAACAATTATTTAATAAATAATAAATTTTACATAAAATATCAAGAAAATCAAGTTTTTAGATTTTTAATTACATATGAACATTTTATTTAATAATTCGGAATTGTATAGAATGATGTAAAATTTTATAGTTAGATTGATAGGTTGATGAATGGTATTGTTATTTACATACACGAGTTGAGTTGCGCCATCTTATAGCTAGTAGGAAATATTATAATATTATTGAACTAAAATTGTTGAATAAAACAAAAAAGGTAAAACAGGATATAAAAATTTGAACTGCACTTCTGATAATGTATGCAGGTAATTTGTATTTATAAATTGAATTATGGACTTTAAATAAGAATTAATTTTTTTTTTCAAATTTCACATTACAAGCTCTTTGAAAAGAGATGGCGTAGTTTGGTTATTACAATAAATTTATAGAGAAATCCTGCAGGAATGTAAAAATTCAACAATAAATTCTTTGTACTATTCAGTTCTTTCTTTTCCTTCAACATTTCACTTCCACAGATTTTAATTTTTGTTGAATTTTGATTTCACCAACATTGAAATAATTAATGTGGTTTGAAACTCTGATTTAACAACAAAAAATATTAAATGAAAATTGTTTATAAACATTTAGGATGTTGTATAAATTTTAAATATTGTAAAATGTAAAATTAGTACAAATAAATATTACAAAAATTAAATTATAAAATTAATTTAAATATTATACATGTATGAAAAATATTATTTTATTTTTAAACTATTTCTCCATGATAGATTCAATGATATTAAATTGTAATAATACAAATTATGCTTTTGAACTAACACAAATTTAACAAACACATTGTTCGTATAAAAATTGTATTTGAAATAGAAAGCTGGGTGAAGAATATTTCCTCAAAAAATCGAACAGTTATTGATAAAGCAGCTATTACCAATTAAATTTCACTGATTTAGCTTCACAGTAGTATCTAGAAAAGTTTCACTTATTTAAAGACTAATTAAGTATTATGCAAACTTCATCATTTCAAGTTTTTTAAAATTTTTTCACTTCATTATAAAAAGTATGAAAAATAATTGTTATAACTTCCCACTACAACAAGATAATATTCTTTTCCGGGAAAAATTTTTAAATTTATATCATAAAAGATTATTTAAATATCAATTAAAGCAAGGAAAGAGTAAAAAATATTTAAAACATGATGATGGGTGTTATGATGTATATAAGTAAGACTTATAAATATGTAATAATTATTATTATTTAATGTTAATGAAATGCTATATATAATTCAAATATCGTAACATATTTTTGATAAAATGTCATAACTTGCATTAAATACTTCCTTTATCAATGCTTATTTCTGTCTATAATGTAATATTTTTTTAAAATCCTTGAAAAATTAAATTAATATTTAGTTGTATGTATAGTTATTATTGAAAAATTTTATCCTTTTGTGTTTGTGATATCATGCTAAATTGTTATTTTTTTTTGCTACAATTTAAACGATATTATGCGCATTTCGATTGTACACAATATTCTTAATAGTTCATTGAATCCCGCATGAAAAATAAAATTATTTTTTTTTTTTTTTGTGTTTTTCCACCAGATTTCCGTAAAGGAGAAATTTTTATATTAATGTAAATGTATATTTGTAATGTACGCACCTATAAAGGATATTTTTCCATTTGTTTATAATTTTACCATATTGTAAAAACCACAATTATTTACACGTCTCTCTCGTTTCTCTTCTTTTTTTTTTTGCTTTTTGTTGCCATTTTATTTTTTTTTGTTATTCTTTTATTTAATTTACCCGTTCTTAAAAGAACTTTCACTTCTGTTGTGTGCGAAAACATGCAGTGTTTGCAAGTATGAGTTTGTATATTTTAAAACCAATTTCAAATTGTTTTATACTTTTTCTGCAATTCCAATTTATAATTACCATTTCGTAAGGAAAACAGCAACAAAATAAAAAAAACGATTCAGAATTTTCCTAAAATGAAAAAAAAAGATTAAAAAAATTTTTATTTTGAATTTGTTTTTTTTTATTCTTTATATTTAAGAATTGAAATGAAAAGTTTTTTCATTCTCTCATAAATTCGATATTAAACTGAACCAGACTGCAAATACACCTACCCGCTTTTTATGAAAAGAAAGAAACAAGGGATTTAATAAGAATACCAGAACGCATTTTCTGCATTCGACCGGTCTATTAAACTTTTAACTTCCGATCAACAAAATGAATTCATACAAAATATTGCTTTTTTTTTTTTGAACAGAATAACTGAGAAGAACATTTACAATGATTATAAAATGTAGAAAAGAGAGTGTATCCGGAGCAATAATGCTATGTAGAAGAAATAAAAATGAATGTACCAAAATGTATGTAAACGTATTAGCACTATATATATATACATATGTATAAATTTTACTATGGTTTGATTGTGTGAATGTGTCCTTTAAAGACTTAACGTATATAGAAAGGGTTCTTTATTTTGTATTTTAAGGGGGATTCAAATACGATCAAATCTTATGGGTAATGTACCACCACTAAGGTATGTACAAAAGTATGATGTATTATTTTCATATTCAAAAAGAAGAAAAATATGAGAGCATATTGGGGTGGGAAAAGAATATTGTATGGAAAATGTTTTAAAATAAAATTGAAAAATGAAAATAAAAAAAAAATAACAAATCTCATACTCGTAAGAATTTCTCACACTTTTCTTTTTCTTTTTATTTTATTACATAAGAGGACTATAACAAAATATTGTAACAAATTTTTACTTCATGTTGTGAACTAAAATTTATTTTATTTAATACAATAGTTAAAGAGTAAAACTATGGTGGTACATATAGTAAAATAAATATGTTATATTTTTATGTAATTGTATAACCTTAAAAATTGTTATTGTAATGCTACATTTAAAATAGTATTTTTGCTCCTTATATGTGCACACTCAGAAAAAAAAATATTTATATTGAATATTTTAAAATGATTTAAGAAAATAATATAAGAGAAAAAAAGAGTGGAAATTATACAAATGTATTTATAGAATTCCTGTTATAGTCATGTCACAGGTTATACGTACAGATTCGCATCGACATTGTAAGGAAAATATTGAGAATTTACACTCAATGAAGCATAAAAATTAAACGTACACTGTACAAAGTTCTATAACAGCCCTATTATGTCAGAACGAGCAAAGATGGAACAGTAATTCAAAAGGGTTAGTTATTTAAAATTTTCAGTTCTCTAAGGTCATCTCACACTGTAAAGCACCTATATTTTGAAGATTACATAAGGCTAATTAGGTATCGAGAGTTTTAATAAATATTTTAAATACCAGTTTATTTAATCTGGAAATCTTTAAAATTATTCACAAAAATTCTTACATAAAAAATTTCATTTAAAATCAAATAAATTTTTTCTTTCTATGTTTTTTTAAGTGAATTTTAAACTTTAACATTTTTATTGAATATTTCCTATACAGGATAATATTTTTTCCTCCTACAATATTTTCGCTATAGTAACATTAAAACATTTAAAATAAAACTCTCATACTACTTTAATTATTTCAGTTAAAATAATTACAAAAAAAAAAAAAAAAACTTTATTATTGTCAATTCGTATTGGAATGGAACGTTTCAAATTCAATGAAAATATTCGTAAAAATGTACGTATATCGGATCCCGATTATTTTAAAATAAATATATAGAGTATATGTATACAAAAAATAGAGTTCAAAAAATATAGTTACTGTACGTAGTTTTATTGTGATCACGAAAAACGTATAGTATTTATGCCTCAATAGATTTCATTAAATGACAACTTCCGATATTTTATACGAGATGCAAACCATTTCGAAAAGGGATAAAATAGAATTTTTCTTATTTTATTATTCTTGTTTTATTATTATTTCGGTAATTTTTGCTTTTAAATGGTTTTTTCTTTTATTTTTCATTTATATAGACCCACGTCGATGAATATTGTGTTTGTAAATTTGTATATATACAGTAATTCAGGACTCTTCAGGATATGTGCATTATGTTATATTACAAACAAAAAAATAGGACCACAAATATGTCTGAATGAAATGTTATAAACATAGTTTAGGAGTGGTATAAAATGTCACAAACAGAAAAATATGTTTTAGTTAAAAAAGTTGAGTATAAATAGAGAAAATTTTTTTAAAGAGAATTGGAAAAATAAACTCTTTTAATATAAAAAAAGTAACTTATATTTGTTTTAAATTGTGTGTGACTACTGTATGTGGTATAGAAATATATTATTGTATTATTATAGTCAAAACTGAGTACTAATGTACTCATACCTTTGATAAATTTTACGTATTTTTGTGAGTGTTGCTGTATAGAGTTATAGTACAAAAAAAAGGGATTCCTTTTAGACTCGTAAATCATGGTTATTATGATGGCAGGAGTGCGTTTAATAGGAAAAAATTTTTCAATGACAATAACAACGATAATTTACAAAAACTAAATAAAGAAAAATGTGAATAAAAATTGGAAAATAAAAACAGAAAAATAGGAATAGTTAACAGTTATTGTAGTGTAAAATAAATGTTAAAAAAAAGCTGAAAAGAAATTTAAAATTGAATGAGTAAAAGTGTTGTCCACTTAGAAAATTATTTCTTGAAAAACGCACATTGAAATAATTTGAATGAATTTAAACTTTTCCAGGAATTTCGATAAATTTATTAAAAACAAAACAGTAATTTTCAAGAAAATTATGATGGGGTGAAATATTTTCGAACTTGTTCTAGAGGAAAAACAAAATTATTAAAACTAGTTTCAAAGAAATTTTGAATTCAAAACGATTCTTTGAAAATTGTCGCAGTATATTGCCTATATTAAAATAATTTCTATAAATTAACCACTTATAGTTAGTAAAAAATTGCGATCAGACAGCCTTAATTATACTAAAAAGTGAAAATATTTGAATAAAAGTTAATTAATATAGAATTTGTTTCAAAACATTTCTTGCACTGTAATTACCATTTAAATTGATAATTCTTATTCTGGAAAATTTTGTTATCCAATAAATATTAGGTTCGACTTCCAAATCTTAATTGTATATTTTTAAATTTATTACAAAATGAACTGCTTGTGAATCCTCGTAAGTCGAAATATTCTTCTAGCCACCCCTAAAAGTATAAAAAATATTTAATTTTAATTGTAATTTAAATTCAATTCAAATAATTAAAAATAATAATTTAATTAATTTTAATATAAGAATTATATTTAAAACCAAAAATGTTAAAAAATATTTTAATTGAAGATGTCGATGAAAAACATTTTATTTAAACTAATGTTATAGATTGGAAAATATAAGATTTTCCGGATGTACATATGTAAAATATTTCGAAGAATTTTTAGCATTCCGGTTAAAATTTTCCCACAAAAAATTTTCTCTTCCTATTAGACTAAATTCATTTAATTAGTTCGTATTGAGCATAGCCAAAATTTAAGGGATTAAAATATTCAATTTTTGACTTTCGCATATAGATATAATGAAAATATTTGCTTATAATGAATATAGAAAATAATTTTGTCAAAAATGTGATAATAATTAAGTATGTTGTGTGTTTACGCAATATTACGATGTAAAATTGTGATTTTTTCATCACTAATTTACTACATTTTCCCCTTTATTGTACTAAGTATGAATTCTATAAATTTTATATTCATTTTATAACTCATTTTATTGAATATATATAGTACGTAGTAATAAAAATTTTGCCCTTTTATATAAAAATTCAATTTCATATGAACATTTTTTTTTTACCATCAGATTATTTAATTTAATGAAGATAAGTTGAAAGTGCGAATCTAAACATTATATGTAATATTTAGGGTGAATTAAAATTATCATTTATGTGAAAATGTCCAAAATAAAATATCAGTTGCTAAAATATTAATAACCGTAAAGCGTATCAAATTTAATTTACTTTGTTAAATACGCATAACTTTAATGTGTTCAGTGAGAATGTGTGCGCGTATATTTATGTTTGTTTAATTATGTTGCATGTTTATCGAATGCATTAAAAAGAACAAATCAAAATAAGATTTGCTTAGTTCCTTGTTTTTTTTTCTTTCTTAAACTGAGATTTTCTATAATAATTTGAATTTTATATTCATTACTCTATTAAAGTAACATTTCTACACGTTATTATATAATTAATAAGGATGGATTTGTTACCAAATTTTTTCAAAGTCTTTTTTTAAAAATAAAGACACTTTCTGTTTCTCAATGTTCAGTAAATATTACATATTTACCGAAATTTTGATATAATTAATTTGTTAACATCTCTTCTAAGAATCATTATTTTAATTCAATGAGAATGCATTTGCGATGTATATTTGAACTGTTTCTTATCCTTGCTAGTCATAGGCATTGTGTTATTCGAAATAATTTTCAAAAGGAAAAAAGCAATGTGTTACGCAGATGAATTTATCAACATTATATTGCAATATTTACATCAACATTGTATATAGAAACTATAAAGGAAACATCAACATAATATAGCAGAACAACAACAAATTTATCAACATTATTTATAAACATAAAAAGTATTACAACTTTATTTGAAATCTCTCTGTCGCTTTGATAATAGCAACAAAAACAAATACATTACTTTCTATCAATAAATGGATTATGTAGATATTAATATTACTGTCATGACAGCGAAATACACAATATTATGTATTCAACTTCAATTTTCTCTCAATTTATATTCAATTTTTATCTCATATCTTTTGTAATGTATGTAGAATGTAGATACATATTAGATAATGTAATACTTTAAGCAACATAAATACAATACAACAGTTTATTGTGTTTGTGGCTGTCTCTTCGATTTTATCTTGTGGTAACTGGTTATTTTATACGGGTTTTAACAAAATAAATTCACTTTGGCTTATTTATTTATTACTGATCATTTTGAATTAGTTTAGTAATGTTTGCTATTTCAGAGATACAGGATGTTAGATTAAGATTAGATTTGTCTTAATTTATTGCACGTTATTTTTATTATTATTTTATTATTATTTCCTATTTTTATTGTATATACTCGTATTATTTGTAAATTATGAATAAAAATTAGTAGTATTTTGTAGTTCGAAGGATTTCTTGTATGCGTGTTTATTAATTTTATAACAGAACAATCTGCGGGTGCATTTCAAATACTTCAAAAAATTACATTATGAAAAAGAGGTTAAAAATTATTATAATTTCTATACCCAGCTGGTATAATTAATAAATTATTCAATTTATTCATCGTGGGTAGTAGAGTAGCGGTAAATTTGTGAATTCGAATTGGTTGCGTTTCAAAGCCGTAAGGTTGAAATGTAAATATAAAATTTAGGTTTGTATAGAACCGAACCGAAAATTCCATAATCCGCGATTGTTATTTATTTTTGTTTACTTTCTGTTTTTTGTTTTGAATAATATTATTTCGTGACTTTTTTTTTCTTTTTTAATAGATTTTTTACAATCTTATGTAAATAAACATTACTGTTATATGCATATACATACAGACATACTCTTGTATATACACACATTTTTTCAAAACCTAAATTATATTATAAAGTCTGTGAGTAATAATTTTTTTTTTAAGAATAATTTCATTTTAATCATAAATAAGGGAAATTTTTGAACCCTTTTTAATAATTTAAGAAAAAAAAAACAACAACAAACAAAAAAAAAATGAATAAAAACAAAGTTATAAATAAAGTTATAAAATATTATAAATTAAAAGAAAAACAACAAAAAACAAAATAATAATTTTTCAGTTATTCAGAATTTTAAGAAAATTTTTAATGATTTTTCTTCTTTATGAATAAAAAAAAAAATCGTTAAAAACAAAAACAAATCGATGGTAAAGTGCAAAAATATGCTAAGTAACAAATTTTTGGTAATGCGTTTTTTTACACTAATGCTAATTTCGAGCTGGCCCCCTCCTATGTGTGGTATATATTTCAGCGCCGTACGTGTATTAGTGTAGAGGTCACGTTCACTAGGTTTGATTGAAAATTTGAAATGAATTATTTACAAGGTCAAAGTAATAAAAAAAAAGGCTAGAACGTTTATATTACAAAAACTGATATAGGGATGAAACACAAATATGCTAAGTGTACCTCAGTTGGTATTAACAATTTTAACACTACATTAGCAATTTTATGATAATAAGTGCCCGACCATTTGTACAAAAACTAAATTTTTATTTGAAAAAAACTTATTCGAAGTCAAAAACTAATTTAAGTTTTTTATTTAGGAAAAAAAAAACAAAAATAAAAATTCAATTACCGTTATTATATGGAGAATTCATACCTGGGGATGAGTTTGATACCAGGCGGGTCTGCAAATCCTCCATTGCAGAATAACATTACAAGTTGATAATGTAGTTAGCGTATAGAATTGCACCCCAAATCAACTCAAAGTTACATTATTTTGCTAAGATATTTATGCCATTATGTTGTGACACAATAAAAAACGTATTTTTATCATAGAATTTCTAAACTTTCAAAATGCTCCCCTGTAATATTTTAAATTTTGCTACTTAAAATATCTTTGCGCCTCACCATCGAAATTTTAATTTTTCTTTTGTTTTTTTTTTCTGCTTCAAGTTTTCAGCTAATTAGATTCTTCAAATTGAAAAATTATGGATCATTAATAGGTACTTGAAAAATTTTAAGACGTTTCTGCTTCTTTTTTTCTTTAGTATAGCTGTTTTGCTTTATGAAAAGAAGTCATAAATTTGCTTTTAGAATCGTTAAATAATTTATAAGCGATGAAAATGAATAAATTAACTTTTTTTTTTGAAATTTATTGAAATATATATCAAAATTATTTTAAAATTTATGATTAAAGTTAATGAAATTATTAAAAAAAAAAAAAGAAAACTATGGGGTCCTTTTCTTGTGTTTTATACTTTTCTAATGAATCTTTCAACGTCACCATTTTTGATATGAATTTTTCAAGAAAAAAAGCAAAACTTTGTTGTTTGAGTAGATTTTCATTGAGAAATTTTTAATGAAAATGTAAATTTGAATTAAATTCAAATATATATCTATACGTGTACAAAAATCAATTATAAATCTAAGACAACGTCAGAAGCAAAATTTTTAAATAAAAATCAATTTTAAAAATGAATTTTATATGATAACCTTTCATAATTTTTGGCGATCTATTAAAAACATTCATTCAATTTTAATTACCTATATTATTTTGGTTTTAGATTTATGATTATAACACTAAATGAAGTGATGATTTTGATTATATCCAATTGATAAAAAATTTTCATTAAGAATAAGAAATTTTTTTTTAAATAATTAATTCTTTTGTAGGTACTCACAATTCAAGTGAACCTTTGAAAATTGTAGCAAAAATGAAAACTATGAATAAAGAAAAAAATGAAGAGGAATGAAAATTAATGTTTTCTTTTGATAATTACTCAATTGCAATTAGTGAGAACTTTCATTCTAAATTTGGAAGAAAGAATTTATTTTGAATATGCAACTACCACATGGATTTAACAATTGCCTGGTTACCAATATTTTAACAACTTAAAATTTTAAGGAAATTGTTTATCTTCCTCAAAGATTATATCATAAAATTTGTATATAATAAATTAAGTATAATTTTCATATTATTTAAGCTTAAGATTTAACGGAACTAGGGTTAAACTATTATGATGTCCTACCCAGCCAGATAACAATAATTTCAAAATTAAAAAATAATTTCGTTAATATTACTTGATGTTTACATTTACGATAAAATCCACGATTTACTCGTAATTTAAACTTGAGTCCAATGGAAGTCGTATATGTGTGTGTATGGAAACCCTATTTGACATTCAGATTTTGTCTAACGGTAAATAATGAAATGACTCCGTTTTCACTACATTTACTGTTAGATTTTTTAAAAGTAAAATGGCAGCAATTAATTTTTTACGAAAGTAAGAAGCGATCAGCAGATTTTTATTTTGGTAATAACTTTTGTGGCAAATTGTTAAATTCTCATGTAAAGTCTGAGATAAATTTTAGTCTGATATGTAAACAGTCATCAGACTTTGTTGTAGACTTAATCTCAGATATATGTACAATGTTTTAGATTATCATTATCATTGTATCCTCTTCAATTTCG